CTAGATCTGCTATATTAACCGATAGGATGCGTTCAACTAGATCTGCTATATTAACCAATAGGATGCGTTCAACTAGATCTGCTATATTAACCGATAGGATGCGTTCAACTAGATCTGCTATATTAACCAATAGGATGCGTTCAACTAGATCTGCTATATTAACCGATAGGATGCGTTCAACTAGATCTGCTATATTAACCAATAGGATGCGTTCAACTAGATCTGCTATATTAACCAATAGGATGCGTTCAACTAGATCTGCTATATTAACCAATAGGATGCGTTCAACTAGATCTGCTATATTAACCAATAGGATGCGTTCAACTAGATCTGCTATATTAACCAATAGGATGCGTTCAACTAGATCTGCTATATTAACCAATAGGATGCGTTCAACTAGATCTGCTATATTAACCGATAGGATGCGTTCAACTAGATCTGCTATATTAACCAATAGGATGCGTTCAACTAGATCTGCTATATTAACCAATAGGATGCGTTCAACTAGATCTGCTATATTAACCAATAGGATGCGTTCAACTAGATCTGCTATATTAACCAATAGGATGCGTTCAACTAGATCTGCTATATTAACCAATAGGATGCGTTCAACTAGATCTGCTATATTAACCAATAGGATGCGTTCAACTAGATCTGCTATATTAACCGATAGGATGCGTTCAACTAGATCTGCTATATTAACCGATAGGATGCGTTCAACTAGATCTGCTATATTAACCAATAGGATGCGTTCAACTAGATCTGCTATATTAACCGATAGGATGCGTTCAACTAGATCTGCTATATTAACCAATAGGATGCGTTCAACTAGATCTGCTATATTAACCGATAGGATGCGTTCAACTAGATCTGCTATATTAACCAATAGGATGCGTTCAACTAGATCTGCTATATTAACCGATAGGATGCGTTCAACTAGATCTGCTATATTAACCGATAGGATGCGTTCAACTAGATCTGCTATATTAACCAATAGGATGCGTTCAACTAGATCTGCTATATTAACCGATAGGATGCGTTCAACTAGATCTGCTATATTAACCAATAGGATGCGTTCAACTAGATCTGCTATATTAACCGATAGGATGCGTTCAACTAGATCTGCTATATTAACCAATAGGATGCGTTCAACTAGATCTGCTATATTAACCAATAGGATGCGTTCAACTAGATCTGCTATATTAACCAATAGGATGCGTTCAACTAGATCTGCTATATTAACCGATAGGATGCGTTCAACTAGATCTGCTATATTAACCAATAGGATGCGTTCAACTAGATCTGCTATATTAACCAATAGGATGCGTTCAACTAGATCTGCTATATTAACCGATAGGATGCGTTCAACTAGATCTGCTATATTAACCAATAGGATGCGTTCAACTAGATCTGCTATATTAACCAATAGGATGCGTTCAACTAGATCTGCTATATTAACCAATAGGATGCGTTCAACTAGATCTGCTATATTAACCAATAGGATGCGTTCAACTAGATCTGCTATATTAACCAATAGGATGCGTTCAACTAGATCTGCTATATTAACCAATAGGATGCGTTCAACTAGATCTGCTATATTAACCAATAGGATGCGTTCAACTAGATCTGCTATATTAACCAATAGGATGCGTTCAACTAGATCTGCTATATTAACCAATAGGATGCGTTCAACTAGATCTGCTATATTAACCAATAGGATGCGTTCAACTAGATCTGCTATATTAACCGATAGGATGCGTTCAACTAGATCTGCTATATTAACCGATAGGATGCGTTCAACTAGATCTGCTATGTTAACCGATAGGATGCGTTCAACTAGATCTGCTATATTAACCAATAGGATGCGTTCAACTAGATCTGCTATATTAACCGATAGGATGCGTTCAACTAGATCTGCTATATTAACCGATAGGATGCGTTCAACTAGATCTGCTATATTAACCGATAGGATGCGTTCAACTAGATCTGCTATATTAACCAATAGGATGCGTTCAACTAGATCTGCTATATTAACCAATAGGATGCGTTCAACTAGATCTGCTATATTAACCGATAGGATGCGTTCAACTAGATCTGCTATATTAACCGATAGGATGCGTTCAACTAGATCTGCTATATTAACCGATAGGATGCGTTCAACTAGATCTGCTATATTAACCGATAGGATGCGTTCAACTAGATCTGCTATATTAACCGATAGGATGCGTTCAACTAGATCTGCTATATTAACCGATAGGATGCGTTCAACTAGATCTGCTATATTAACCGATAGGATGCGTTCAACTAGATCTGCTATATTAACCGATAGGATGCGTTCAACTAGATCTGCTATATTAACCGATAGGATGCGTTCAACTAGATCTGCTATATTAACCGATAGGATGCGTTCAACTAGATCTGCTATATTAACCGATAGGATGCGTTCAACTAGATCTGCTATATTAACCGATAGGATGCGTTCAACTAGATCTGCTATATTAACCAATAGGATGCGTTCAACTAGATCTGCTATATTAACCGATAGGATGCGTTCAACTAGATCTGCTATATTAACCAATAGGATGCGTTCAACTAGATCTGCTATATTAACCAATAGGATGCGTTCAACTAGATCTGCTATATTAACCAATAGGATGCGTTCAACTAGATCTGCTATATTAACCAATAGGATGCGTTCAACTAGATCTGCTATATTAACCGATAGGATGCGTTCAACTAGATCTGCTATATTAACCGATAGGATGCGTTCAACTAGATCTGCTATATTAACCAATAGGATGCGTTCAACTAGATCTGCTATATTAACCGATAGGATGCGTTCAACTAGATCTGCTATATTAACCAATAGGATGCGTTCAACTGGATCTAAATCAAAGTTTTCTGTCCAACAGTAATGATGATCTGCACGGCAGCATTCTATACCCAGATATTGTAGCATCTAGGATAGAGCTGTCAGTCTGGGAAAGAATCTGCTTGTTATTCCAAATTATAAAGGTTCAGTTTTTTTGCAACATAAAACTGCCTAAAACTACCACATATCCTGATCACTAAAATGTGACTAAGACTAATGATAGTTTTCATCCTGAAGACTAAGTCTAAATCTAAGATGTCTGTCAAAAACAGCCCTGCTGATCAAGTACTATTTTATATGCTATAGTTACTCTATTTATAATATATTAACAATGGTTGCTTTATTTCTCACCCAGCCTGAAGCTCAAACTAAACTTGAAGGTTACTGAAAGGTGGTCAGAGACGACAGGGTTGTAAGGAAACACTGTTATTTCTTCACATTTAATACCACATGTCAACACAAGGTCCAAAGATGAGAATGAATGAGTCTGTGCGCATTTTGAATAAAGCTAATCGAATCCAAGATTGCATTAAATGCTGCAACTAAGGCGTCACCTTCAGCATCAGACTGTTATAATCCTCCACTATGATGATCTCAGTGTTCAGCACTACATCAGGTAAGGACTTTTATAGTTGGCTAGTAACTAGTTACATTTACTCCAGTAACTTTATGAAAAAAAATCACTTTTTAGTAGTTTCACAGCACTTGCCTGTATGATAGAAATCACTACTGAATCTTTGGTTACTCTATCCGTTTTTAGCAACTTCACTCAGGAAAAACAAGCTTATTTTAAACAAATATGCACCAGAAAGAGAGAATTACGATTTTTTTTGTACTCAGTGCTTATTGTTTAAATGTTATTTTCCATCTGTGGAGTCTACCATGTCACTTACAGGTTGATAATTCAGTAAACAGGAATCTATTCTTACATATTGTTAGTATTGATTTTGTAAGTTGTATAACTTATATATTATCAAATACTTTTTACTCTTGAGTGATTTCTTTAAAGGCTACTTTCTACTTTTACTCGAGTACAAATATGAATTAGTGCAACTTTTTTTAGTAAAATGTTTGGGTTCTCTACCCAGCTCTGCACACACATCCAGCTAAGAACTGGTTTAAGTTCAATTCTTTAATCATTGAATTGATTAGATTGTCACACAAATCATCTCCACTGGTACAATGTTTAGAGGAAGGTCTCTGAATTTATGTAAAAGATTAACTGGTTCAGATCGTCTGACATTTAAGGTCTACAGTTTGTAGATTTCAAAGTAAGGTTCTGGTGTGGATAAAAGAAGCTTCAACCTAAGAATTAGAAACTAAACTGATTAAACTAAATCTGACATAAGGAGTCAGTTAAATTGACCAAAAACAAATGTTGTTCAGAGACCTTTTATTAATTATTCTTTGAGCAATAATATTATCTAAACATATGTCCATTGTATATAATAAATATATCCAATCCAATAGTTTCTATTGCTGCTCTTTTCATCTATCAAAACATAATTATATTAACAGAAAACCTCTATTAACAGAAAATGCAGTAAAACTAGTTAGAAAGAAAAGAAAAAGAAAAAGAGAGAGATTGACCAATACAGCTTTTCCACAGCCGATCACGGAACAGATTCCTTTATTATCATTATAACCACGTCCCACTACGGGCTGCTGATTGATGGGGGCCGATTCTCTAAACAAATGAGCTTTTCTCTGTTTAAATGAAAAAGAAACCAACAAAAATATGAACAGTTACACGCTTTAATCAAACAAATAAAAAATATTCAGGAATCAAATAAAAACACTAGCAATAAAAAGCAAATCGTGGGAAAAACAAAGCATTCGCTTAAATGCGATCAAGGCAAGGCTGCTGAACGGACTCACGGATCGGTGAACGCATGCACGGATAAAAGCAGAAAAAAATAAACTTATTGTTCACAAATAGCCACCGGCCGATTTTTCTCTTAACAAAACAGAAATAAGAAAAATAGTTATCAAAAAAAAACAAATTTAACTTAGTTCTTTGGCGTCCCGTGATTAAAAACTATTCACCTGGTTTAGAATATCACAGCCTTTTTGCTCTGGTATCCATGTAAACAGTCATTTACTGCTTTCCTGTGGTGGAAAGTCTCTATTCTTTAATATTCGTCCCAAACATCATGCATGAAACCTGTTTCTGACTCATGTGACTTTTTTATGTGGTTAACGTTCTTCCACAGACCTCACAGGCTGAAAACCGTTCAGTCGTCATGTGATGCGATAAGTTACGTTTTTCAGTAAAACCTTTGTCACAAACCTGACAGGGGAACGGTTTCTCACCCGTGTGAGTTCTGGAGTTTCTGTCCAGATCAGATTTATTCATCAAGCTTTTCCACAGATTTAAAAAATGTCCCAGATTTGTGCTTTTCCATGTTTTCATTCCAAAGAGGTTTTGACGTAAACGTTTTCTCACACGTCTCACAGAAAACAGGCCTTTGGGCTGTGTGAATCCCCATGTGGTCGTTCAGCTGGATGTTTTGAACGAAGCTGTTGCCGCAGGTAGCGCACGCCTCTCCTTTGTGTGCAGCATGACGTGCCGAATCAGGTTGGGTTTAGAACCAAAGCTCTGGTCACAGGACGGACATTTAAAAGGCCTCTCGCCTGTGTGAGTTCTCAGGTGTACAGTCAAAAAAGCTTTTCTCTTAAATGCTTTTCCACAGGTGTTACAGGAAAAAGGCCGTTCATCCGAGTGGGTCGCCATATGCTTACTCAAAACACCCTTTCGAGTAAAACTTTTGCCACAAATGGTACAGGGGAACGGCTTCTCTCCTGTGTGGATGCTGACGTGCCTCAGGACAGCAGATCTATTGCTGAAATCTTTTCCACAGGACAGACATTTGTAAGGCCTCTCACCTGTGTGGGTTCTGATATGTAAAACCAAATTACACTTAAAGCTGAAGGTTTTATTACAGATGGAACATTTAAAGCCCTCCCCCTCTGCATGAATTCTCCTGTGTTCATTCAAACGAGACTTGGATATAAATCTTTTCCGACAGGTCTCGCAGGCGAAAGGCCTCTCCCCTGTGTGAGTTCTGATGTGTACAGCCAAAAAATCTCTTCTTTTAAAGGTTTTCCCACAGTTCTTGCAGGGAAAAGGCCTTTTCTCTGTGTGAGATATCATGTGTTCAGTCAAATTACCTTTTCGAGAAAAACTTCTGCCACAAACCTCACAGGAGAAGGGCTTCTCCCCTGTGTGAACTCTGAGGTGTCTTTCTAGAGCGGTTTCATTACTGAAGTTTTTCCCACAGGTTTGACATCCATGAATCTTCCCACCTGTGTGAGTTCTCATGTGGACCGTTAAACGTTCTTTTTTTAAGAAGCTCTCTCCACATGTCTCACAGGTGAAGGGGTTCTCCTCTGGATCTCCGGCCTCCTGCTCCTTATGCTCACTTTGCGGGAGCTCCATGGTCTCCTCTTCTGTCCAGGAAGGTTTTTCTGCTCCTCTATCTGCAGATGTTCTGGTTCCTCTTGGTCCAGACTGGAATTCCTCTCCTGTTTGCAGCGCGATCTGGAAAGACAAACACAAGACTAAGACTTTCTATTGTAGAAATTAGTCACTTCACTTTAATCATCTAAGTAGCCTATCTGCAAGTTACTAGACTGTAACTACATTTCCCAGCATGCCCTGCAACTCTGACGTCACATCACAGCTTATTTTGCTACAAGCAGAGGGCTTCATTGGTTAAATGTTTATTAAACAACCAAGACCTCACACATTGTTTTTTATAAACAAAATATTAATAACAATATTATAAATAAACATTTATTATATTAATAAACATATTAAGATAAATAAATTATTATAGATGATTAAATTATAATTATTATAAATTATGTTTGGATTGTTTTGGTTTTTGTTTTTCTGCTCTTTAACAATCCAAGCTCAAGTGAGCTAACTGCGCTAACTCTGCATCTGCTGCTCGCAGGTGTCAGCAGAGGCTGACTGAAGCCAAAATAAAAGGAGCCTGGATGGAGGGAGGGGCGGAGCTACAGGTGATAGATGCTACCACGCCAGGCACAGAATACCGGCCAGGGCAGAGGTCCGAGACATCCCAAGAACACCATCCCTACTGTAAAGCATGGGGGTGGCAGCATCATGATTTGGGGGTGTTTTTCTGCACATGGGACAGGGCGACTGCACTGTATTAAGGAGAGGATGACCAGGGCCATGGTTTGGTAGATTTTGGCGAACAACTTCCTTCCCTCAGTTAGAGCATTGAAGATGGATGGAGGCTGGGTCTTCCAGCATCACAATGAGCCGAAGCACAGCCAGAATAACCAAAGAGAGGCTCTGGAAGAAGCAGATCTATGCTCTAGTATGGACTAGCCAGTCTCCCAACATAAACCCAACAGAGAACCTTTGCAGGGAGAAACAGCCCAGAAACCAGACTGATCCAGAGAAGATCAGTCTGGAGGAATGGGCCAAAATCCCTCCTGCAGTGGTTGTTAATCTAGTGAAAAACTACAGGAAACATTTGACCTCTGGAATTAGAAACAAAGGCTACTGAACCAAATATTAACATTGATTTTCTCAGGTGTTCAAATACTTATTATCAGCTTTATTATACCAATAATAATGTTATATATATATATATATATATATATATATATATATATATATATATATATATATATATTTATATATATATATATTAGGGATGGAACGGTTTCTGAAATCCGTCCGAAATCGTTCAGTTCGACTGTCTCGGTTCGATTCGCGTGTGTTGCGTTCGGTTCATGCGCTGCTCCTTTTTCTCATAGGCGAAGCGATTACACTCCAGAGCAGAAGGTGGCGGTACTGCGACCAAAGCCAACCACCACTAGTAAACAAGAAGAAGAAGAAGCGAAGCAGCGTAGCCGGGTGTAGCAGAAAAAATCAGTTGTTGTGGAGAATTGTGT